TTTAGAGGTGGCTTGGGCTCTGATTATCTCAAGTGATCAGAGTTTCTGCACCTTGATTTCTGACCAGCATGCCATGAAGTTGTAAAACCATTGCAGTGAGAGAACTTGTCCATTGTCTTCCTCTCCCCAAGATGAATTGTTAAGTCAGTAGCAAGTGCTGTAACTTCTGTACGGATATAGCCATAGCCGTAGGAAGCCATCAATTCAATGTGATTGACCAGTGTTTGTTTCTCTTCCTAAGAAAACAGGGGTTCTGGACCTGGCCTACATATACATGTGGTTGTTTCAAATTTAAGTTTTCCACTAGTTCTCTAACGAAGAGTAGAATCTTACATGTACATGTAGGACGGAGAAAATTCTTGAAGCTTTGTTAATCAGCATTCCCTGAAGTAAAGCCTCATATGCTTGAATGAATGAATCATAGGTACACGCACACTGACGATAACTCACCTTTCCTTCATTCACCATGGTCTGCAGTATAAAAAAAATTGGCTGTCTTTAAAACCTTAAGTGCTGTTACAAATTCAGTAAAAATTAAATTTAATATGTTCTTACTTGCAAGATAAAAACAAACGAAATGTGGGATAGTTTCATCCCGATGATAAAGTTCTGACCATTACATTTTGATTCCATCTTGCAGCATACATGTACATGTATGAGTGGCAAAAAAACAGTGGACACCTTAAGTTTATCAAGTTACTCAGTTTGAGGTTTAAAGAGAAAAACACGATAAAGTCACCTTGATTTGAACAAGACCAACATCTTTGGCACATTGGCATGCCATAAAATCTAGTAGCAACATGATCACATAAACTGCTGCCTGCTTTCAGAAGAATGAAACTTGCCCAAGCAGACAATAGTTAAATTTTGAATATTTGGTAATGGAATTTGTATTTTTGGCTCATTTGAAAATCAGCTACATGTACATGTAGAAATGTACATTACTAAAATATACCCCAAAATATACAAATTGTAAAATTTTGAGTGTCACTTATGACTGGAAACTTTATTCTCAACATCTTAAAAGTCGGAGGTAGCAGTGAACTACATCAATCATGTCAAATCGACCATGCTAATCATGATTCGGGAATGATCTCGCACAGTCTCGCAGTTAAGGGGAATAAAATTTGGTTAGCGAAAACACATGTCTAGCAAAAAAACACGACGGCACGATTGCCTTATCGCAAATACTGCTCGGGTGATTTTGCACAATGGTAGAAAGGTTGTTCCTGAACAGTAAGGCACTACTCCCTAGGCCTTACTGCACTCCATCTTTTTAATGGTTCCACACGCCATGGCATTTTGAAAGCTGCATAAGAATTGTACCAGATAAAACATCCATTTGCACTTGCTTAGGCAAATCTTCTGCTAAAGACCCTATAATACGTGCAGTAGCTAACCTATGTGGAACTACTGTTCTTGAATGTATTTTGTAGCGTTTTAACTACATGTATATTATTGGCAAAAATGAGGTTTTTTCTACCCTCCTCACCTTTCATCCCTCGACAATCCGTACACATAGATCTGCATTCTCTTGTGGCCGTACGTCACGTGACAAAAACAGACGCCGCGTATTCACATAACGAATGTTTATGTTGCTTTGGATACCAGTCCCGATAATTCTGACTACTCTCGTTAGGATTACGTATAGAGACATCTGGGAAGTCTGTGGTCAGGGAACCACACTAAAAGTTTGAGAAACATGTACTTCAGGGAGTGAGAACAATTGGCAAAATATGGTTGTGAAGTTTTGAGACTAATCATGCTGATAAAGTTTCTGTATTCCATGCAATTCTGGAATTTATTTACTGCAAAATGGTTGACCTGATATGTGATTACTAGTGTGGCTCCCTGACCACAGATTTCTATACATAATCTTAGCGGGGGTAAGATTATGGGACTGGTATCCGAAGAAACATAAACGTTTGTTACACAAATACCACTTTTTAGGAGTTAGGCCTAGGCCTATAGACATGATAGATTAAACAGTTTGCTGATCTGACAGGGGAAAATTTGATTTAATGGACTTCTTACACCTGTGAACCATTTCACCACAAAAATTGGATTCCAAACTCCATAGCGTTACAACACTATGGAAACCGTATTGGCTCAAAGTCACACGGAGTACATGCAGCCCTACTAGTACTAGTAGTGTTACGCCCCAACTATAGCATAAGTCCCAACTACAATTGGGACAGTCCCAACTGTAGTCCTACAGTTGGGCTGACCCAACTATTGTTGACCAATGTCTGTGTGAAATGTCTCAACATTATCCAAGTCAATGTGTCTCGCACTTGACACAATACATCTAAAATGTGGCACTTCTAGCCCTAGTTCATCTAGCCCTATGACCAATGACATGATATTTGTAAACAATATAACTTTAGCACATGCACATCATGCACACAGGACCTCTCTGCTGTAGTTGGGCCAGCCCAACTGTTGCACTCTAGTTGGGACTGATGCTATAGTTGGGGAGTAACAGCAGTACACAGTACTCAGCCTGTGCCACTGCTCAAGTGCTTGTGACTGACTCTCATAGTAATCACGACCCTGCTTTGCGTTGTTCAACCATGGTTCAATTTCAGCAGAGGCTTGAAAGAAAGGCAGGATGGACACGCTTCAAACATGCTTAATCACAGTATCTATCATTAATTATACTCACTTCGTCTTTTTAAAGCTAATTGATGTATTTCGGAAAAACAATGTGACTTCTCGGGTTCAGTCTCACAATCGACGTCACGTTCCGAACAAAACAGCCGGAACGATATGGTCCCCTCTTCAATCATTGTGCAAGAATAGCAATTATCCCTTGGGTACTAGACGACCAGGAAACACACAGTCACGTGCTTCAAAGCGTGGGCGGGGCGTAAGTTACAGGCCAGGGGAGGGTTGAAGACACATGAAATTGAGGTTTTTTAGCTTTGATTTCGTAGGATCTAAGATATACAAGGAAAGTGTATTAATATGAAGAAAGACAAACGTACAAAAGCACAAATTAAATTACAAAACTCTGATTCAATTTTTTGTACAATCATATTTACTGACAAAGCAATTTTTGTTAATTTCTGCAACACAATTTACACAGCAAGAAAGGCAAAATGCAGCTCTAAAATGATTTATCTCTGACAGATCATGGCACAATCTTGTTGGGAAGCTTCAAAAAACTTTTCAAGCATCACTCTCACCACTTAGAATTTTACACACCAGTTTACCTTGAAGGTCACCCAACTCATCTGTGATTGGCCCAGTTGCAAAACGGGGGGGGGGACTATGCCCCCAGTTGGAAAAGTTAGGGGGTGGGGGCCACTGCCCCACCGCCCTTCCGCCACCAGAAGATTGATCACTGCCTATGAGTTTTAGAGATCACTGACTATAACCCTCACCCCACTTAGCATTCCTGTTAGAAAACTAATACTAAATCTTCCCAAATCCCCAATATAATGCGTTGAAAACTACTGGCTTTTTCTTTCTCTTTGAACCGAGTATCAAACGAAAAGAGGAAGGATAATGACTCACACACTGCTTCACAATCCTATAAAACCTCCTGCTTGATTTTGAGTGGGTCCCTCAAGGGGTCAGGATAATGGTACTCATGAAATATTGGTTAGTTACCAAACGAGAGAGACTGGGATATCCTTGAATGCATAGAATAGGCAAGGGAATGTTACATACGGCAAATTTAATCTGAAGATGACCACATGATGAAATGAGCTTCGATAATAAAGTTCAACCTGTAAAGAATTAAGTTCCAAGATTTATTACAATTTAGTATGCATACAGAGAAATTGCAATCTTCTCTATAACAAAGTGAACTTCAAACCTTGTAATCAAAACACCCTCTGATAATTTCCAGGTTTCTTGAAAAATCATTAGACTCTCATTTCGAATCACTTTCACAGCAAATTGCATATTTGACAGTGTATAATTACATTTCTTTTAACATTTCAAAACTTCAAATATACTTTAATTCAAGCTGTGCAACTAGTTTGTATCGGTATTTATTCTACATTATGCTAACCTTATCTGAAAAACCCATTTCTGCAAAATACCCCCCTCCAAAATATCTTGCATGATGTTCAGTGATGTGTTTGCATTAACATGACAATTACATGTGACGTAAAAATAACTGTTCCGAATATAAGCAAAGCCTGTAGACAGCATAACACCAAGAAAACAACAGCTGACAAGACGACGTAATGGAATGATACATGCACAACACTGAAATACATCAAAACCTATATAACACAATGACGGAACAAACACAAGTAACAACCAATCATTTTTTTAAAAGTAATAATTGTCAAACTTTTTTACCGTAAAACATTCCACAGAAGGTATTTCCTATGTGCTTTCATTCCTCCTTCTTTAAAGAGCACCTCAAAGAAAAACATGTTTTCTCTGATTTGGGAAGCATTTTGGAAGTATGGAAGCATCCAAATCGAACGCAGTGTCATTTGTCTTCAGAGCTCAACTATAACAAGCTAAAAAGGGCTTTTTTCTGTTCATGCCAAGCTCTGAAGACAAATGACACAGCGTTCGATTTGGATGCTTCCATATTTATTTGAACAAATAAAAACAGAGAAAACATGTTTTCCTTAGAGTTGCTCTTTAAGAATTAACATTTCCTAACAACTTCTATAGAGTGGATTTGAAACCTACAGTGGGTTATAAACAAGGTAATACTTGTATCTTGAATAATTCTTCCCCAAAACAATATTTCTGTAAATTTCGAATGGCATCATTTCAGGCACAAAACACGATTAATTGATGGCATTTCAATGCATAAGCCTTACAATACTTAAGGCATACAGTGCTTTTATTTTCCTAGAAATATTCAAAATATTTATATAAAAACTGTCAATTCGATAGCTACTCTCAATTATGTACAGTTTGAAGACACCATTATAGCTTTTGACTTTTCTAAGATTAAAAAAGGACTTAGGAGTTTAACAAATCTGTGGCAGTGTTCATGCCAAAGCCTCTGATCTTACTTTCGCTGGGAATCATTATACAACCAAAAACATTGGCATCCCAAGATGCTATTCCTAGTGGGCTTCTGACAGCTTCTTGATTTCATCACTGAGTACTTTGGTGATGTGCATTGCTTTCTTGGCTTCCTCTCCACCGATGTTCTCTAGAGCAATTTGAGCTGCCTCCCTGACATTGGAGATGGCATCATTACGCCTAGTGATGTCAAAAGAGTCAAAAGATGTTACAAAAATTACAAGTCGCACAGGTTGACTGTTCAAGTTCTACACAGAAAAATGTGCATTTTTGTATTTTTGCTAGTGTTTCTGTAAACGCCATTGGGAAAAAAGGTATGTGGGTATAAAAAACTTCATGTGAATTGCTGTTGACTGGCTCAAGACTGAATGACTTGTGGTGGACTTCTGGTGGATTTGTGATGGATTTGTAGTAGATTTACTGTGGACATCTGGTGTATCTGGATATGTGGTGGACTGGTGGTGGACTAGCTTGTACTGGATTTGTGGTGGACTTGTGGTAGATGTGTGGACAGCCTGTAGTGGATTTGTGGTGGACTTGTAGTGGACATGTGGTGGAGTTGAAGTGGATTTGTGGTGGAGTTGAAGTGGATTTGTGGTGGACCTGTCGAAGAGTTAGGACTTGTGACTGGACTACCGTCCTAGTGGTCATGAGTGAAATGGCAAGCAAGGGGCACACCAATAATTTGAATAGTCTTTCATCAGGATTTTCTTGGTGCTGGGAGAGGGTGTTGAGGGTGTCACGGCAGTTTTACTGACCAGAGATTGACCAGCTGAGGTGCTGCTTCTTCTGCCTTGATGTGACCCAAAGCAAGACATCCACTCTCCCTGACAAGACGATCTTTATCCTTCAGGAGGTTCATCATCCGACCCACAGCATGTTTGTTGTGGGGATCAGCCACACGAGCCAATGACAGAGCAGCAACAGCCCGCACGTTTTCATCCTTGTCACTACAGAGATCTAGAAGTGCCTCCAAAACAGAGCTGCTATGGAACTTGCCTGTCACATAGAAGCAAAGAAGGCTGGGATAACCACATGTAGGAACTTCTCTCTGATATTCTAGACAGTATCAACACAGACTGTTGACTTGATAATGAGATTTTGAATGTCATCAATGTGGACAGAGGAGTTCAAACTTAGTGTGGATACCTTTGTTTACTCAGGGAGTATTTCATGGTTAGGAACCATCAGAACATTCCATTTGGAACACTGTACGTGTCCTCATTCTAAAATGGACAGCCATTGTTTTTAATGCTACCTCAGTATGATATATGCCCAGAGCGGATCGTTCCTGCTTACATGTAAGAGTTCTGGTGGGAAGAGTCTAACAGACAAGAATGTTCCTGACTTTTGAGACACTATCTCATTAGGCTGTGGAAAGGCATTAATGCAGACAGTGGGTCTATATACTGCACCTCTGATAAATTTGGGCCCAACTCATACTTAAGATTATGATCCTTGCGGAAGACATTAATGTGGGTAGAGGACTTCATACTTACTGAGATTATGAATAGCATCAATACGGACTGTAGAGTTCATACTGAAGACTTCTCTCATGGTGTAGCTCTCCAAAGCATGCTCTTGGACCCTCTTCCAAAACTCTGATCTCTCACCATTCACTGTACAAAAATCTTAATTCAGAATTCAAACCAGAACAAAGTTAGATACGTACATGTAGATACTGTGCAATCCCAGAGTACAGTTTGTGGAATGCTGGGGGGCAGACTCAAAATAGTAAACTAGATTTGTGGAAGGCTTTCGTGTATTTCTTTTTTTTAGGCACATTTTAAACTGACTAGATGGAGAGTTTCCTTGTTATCTTCACAGGAACCAATAAGTCTAAACCATTTAAACAAAATCTCCATCCATTTCGTTTGAAAAATGAATTGTCATGAGAAAATTACAGACGCATTTTCATTCATTTCTTATTTCATTTAATCAGGGTACTATCCTTATCAATTACACAGGAACTGTTCTCCCAAAGGGCAGTTTTAGAGGAGGGAGGAAAGCCCGGACAAGTAAATTTTGGGGAAAATCCACAAAATCAGCTGGGGACTGACAAATCAATCCATGTGTTGGCTTCGGTGGGATTTGAACCTGGGTAACAAACGTGGTAGGCAAGAGATGTAAACAACTCCCCCAAATAAATACAGACCAGAAAGGTCCAGTTACCATTGTAGTGTTGTCTGGTTACGAGACCATCTGAGTCCTCATCCATCTCAGTGTTGAGAATCGACAACAGCCACTGTTGGTCAACGTTCTGGAACATCTCATCTAACTGACTGCCATACTCCTCCATAAAAGCTTCTTCAAATCTGCACCGAGATATCAAACCATTAATAGGCAAAGATTTGAGTTTCATACAGACCAAAGCAAGGACATAGAAAAACTGTATTGAAAAACCACACTGAGGTGATATGACACATGTCAGCAGTTTGCATGATCTTTCACCAATGCTTTTGGTTTCATCTGTTGATGGAAAGAGTTCCATATACCAATGCCACTTGACATCCCGTGCACAAACCCTATGAGACTCCTCTGAAAAAATTTAAGTGTTTTCTCAGTAAACAACTTGGTGTTTTCCTCCTAAATTCAACTTTTCTGGACATGTTTTGCTTTCTGATGGCTAACAGGTCATTGTAGGGAATAATTACAGGTGTCTCTATATGGAACTCTTCCCCTGTTAATTTCAAAGTCCAAGGGAATGGGAAAGCATATTACAGTTATCAGCCAACCAAAAAACAAATGGAACAATAGTTTTCAGCAGTTTGTATATTTTATATTTCTAAAAATGAAAATGCAACAGGAAATTATAAAATTGCCTTTCAAAAGGAATAATACATGTAAATTTACTTAACACATGAATATTTCATATTTAAAGTAGTTGAAGACTTATGCATTTACAAACATGACTAGATTTAGGTAAATCAAACTAAGAACTAAAGGAAAAGTATACACAATGAAAGAATCTCAAGCATTGCCAACCATGACTAAATTGAAGTATAACACTTGTTACTGTTCACGTACCTTTCCCATTCTACAGTTGCTTGCCCCTTGAAGTGCTTCTCCCAGAAATCTGTTTCCTTTTTAGATGCAAAGGCAGGGGTGGAGTGAAGATTAAGATGAGAACGTTGTCGTTGAAATGTAGGTCTTTTGTTATCAACTTCTGGAAAAAAAGGCAAAACAAACATACAAAGGATCAACCATTTAATTTGTACCACAGCCCTAAAAACCAGGTGGTTCATGTCAATCTCACAGCTTGGGGGGTTCCCCCCAAAAAACTTGACTGTCCCAAGCCCAAGCTTTCTAAAATTAGGCAAATGTGGAGTTTCAACTGAATGTTGCACGTGGTTTTGTTATGGTCATTTGAAGTTTAAGGTCACATACATGTATGTGTCAGCCCACATGCATTGAGCACTGCAGTGGAAAAGTATACAAATACATTTGTTCTTCCAGTCATTTGTGAAATTTTATCCAAAATTTATTTCTACTTGTACTTCAGTCCAACTACTGCACCTCAATTTTATCTGGAAATCTTATTTCCAACTTTCTCTCATTCTCAACCCAGAGGCAGACAAAATCAATGGAAATATGCTAATAATTAAACATATTTGATATTAGATTACTGTCAATCTTATAAGTCCTATGAAATCTATGAATCCATCACATGTCCACTATTTTCTTGGATTCTGTTCTTGATGACTCAACATTTCCACAGCTCACCCTTCTCTGCTTTCAGCTCAATCAACTTGCTCTGAATTTTCTTGACCAGTTCCATCATGGATTGGTTGAAGGCTGAGGTGTCAGTGAACATGGTCCAGTCGACTGGAGCAAGCTGCAGGCGCCTAATGAACAAATGGAAAAATCCCCCTGTAACTTGGGTTGAGAAGGGTTTAAGGATGGGAGAGGGGTTAAAGCGGGGCATCACATTTTGAGGAGCAGGTATAATCTTCATAGGAGGATAAAATGTCTTATCTAATTAACTGTCATCCTCACAAGGAGAACTTTGCACCATGGCATAATTTCAACAAGTGCTGTGGTTCCGAAAGGAGTAAGATTTCGTTGCTTGATACATGTATGTCTAGTTGTCATCAAGAGACAACATGAGCTCAGGATATAGAGGATTATTAGATATTGTTTAATTTGAAGGAGACAGGTGGTGGGACTGGAGTTGGAGGAGGTGTGTAGATAATTGTTTTACAAGTTGACGCTTCTACTGAGATTATAGAGGGGGATGTACTTACATGCCAAAGTCCATGAGAGGAATCATGTCATCTCTACCTTCTAAGGCACATGGGAAGATTGGTTTGCTGGAGATGTAAGCTAAGGCCAATTCATCTCGGCAGTATCTGGACACGACCGACTTGGTGCTCAGCAAGGACAGAAACAGCTGGGAAATGAGCACATTATAATAAACAGTACACAACAATGACTGAAATTACAGTTGCTAACCTTCAACATTAATCCAAGAGTTTAGACCTGAATATTTGTACATGTACTTATAGGCACCATCAATATCGTATTTTGGCTGATATCGATATATTAAATTTTATTCACTTTAATTTTCAAGGTATTATAACAGGCGTGAATTACAGGTAAATTGTTCTAAGGGTACACCCCTACACCGTAATGGTGTGATCCAATTCACTTTGGTGACATGTTCTAGCGTCCGTATTGCTTAAGTTTCTACATGGGATAAGATACACGCTGCCGACACTGCATCTATATCATCAGCACATAGTGTTAGTCTACGTAAGTAGCAAATAATGCTCTGTTTTGGAGGATAAATTTTGTGATATTTTCAAGGCAAAGTGTAGCCAAGTATTGAGTGCAAGACTGAGATACATGTAGGTGACTGAATTTACTCTTCCTATGTTGCCGTATAAGCTACAGAGTACACGCGCTATGTACTGTACAGGGACATTTTTCACTCAGCGTGAGAACCAACGTACATGTAAGCCATGGCTTATCGAAAATTACGGTCATGTGAGGATGCACTTTCTCATTTTTATAATAAAGTTCGTTCCTCAGTAGCAATATTTTCGAAATCATTTTCAATATCGATGTTTTCAAAGTTTCAATAATTTCAATATTTCTCCAAAATTTGATATTTTTGATATTGATATTACCAAATAACTAACATCGGCGATATTGATATCAAACCTATATCAATAAAATCGATATATCGATGGTGCTTACATGTACAGCGAGAAAATTCAGATTGATCATGTCAACTAACAAACACTCAATAAAATTAACAATACATGTACTGTAAACGATTGCACATGAGTCAGACAGTCTTGTTCACCATTCACATCAAGCAAATTGAGCAAACATTGCAGGCTGTTGGATATTGTTGAATTCAGCTCACTCAGGTAAAGACAAAACGTGAAGTATTCTGAGCCACAAGAAACTCCTGCTGAATTCTCTAAAACTGACCAATTGGACATGTTGGTAGGATTTGATGGTTTGGGCTGCTATCATGAACAGTTAAAACAGTGAGCAACTTCTGATTTTGTTGATCATGTCTAGATCTGTCAGATCTTGATAGATTGGAAAAAACCATTGTACTGACATGTTCTGAAAGTTGAAATCACAGGAATAGACTCTTCAGACTAAAGAAAAGCAAAAGAGGGTCAACATGTAAAATGTGGCCCTTAGTTGGTTTTGTCCACATTTCCAATTCAATTTGTCTGACTGATGATTCATTCTGTTACCTTGGCATCAACGATGGCTTGTCCGATTTTGTTGAAGAATTCCACTCCGGCTTTAAGGCCAACCTCATCAACCCAAACAGTGATACCAGCTTTCTCCAAAGCATCTGCAATGTACAGCGTACACCAAGCAAAAATCAACACATAATGATCAGCTTGCAATTAGTCTGAAATATTGGCATTGGCATATAATTATTTGTGAGCAAATATAACAGAACTTGAAAGAAGAGGTTTTTCATGAAAGGGAAAATGAATTTTATCATGCATATCATGAGCTGTACAGAATGATAGCAAAATACATGTACCTGTACATGTACCATATCGGTAGGTCTCAGTTCATTCAAATATTTCACTATTCGAATATTTGACCTTCAATTCAAATGAGTATCCAACTATTCGGTCATACTGACAGGCAGATATCTCAATAATGCACACAATTGTACATCTTAATCACTATAATCCTATAATTTCTCACGTCAAGGAGTACAGTGTATCTTTAGCCATGATTTAGCAGATTTAAGAGATGCACATTATTTCTTGCCTCATTGAAAATTTCTATTCCTTTTCAATTTTGTAATGAATACTTCATTTTTTGAATCATTGTAAGATTTCTGTCACTTTTCATCTGCATCTGCTTGAAACAAGCCTCCATTTATAATGCAACTTTTCTCCTTTAAATCCAGAAAATATTCTCCATTCCTTTTCCTAAATTTTGCATTCAAATATTTAAATTCAGAAAATAATATTCCAATATTCGATAATCGACAGAAATATTCTATAATTGATAGAATATTCGGATATTCGGCACAGCCCTACATACCGGAACCATAAGGAAGGTTTGTGAAACTGTATCATTTGGTATTGAGAATAGCACACTAAGTTGAGTTGGTACTTGGTGTACATGTACAGTACAGGTTGCTACAACGTAGAGTACATGTTGGATTAAACTGCATACGAATACATTGTACATGTACGGTATCAAAATGTTGAAAAGCAAGGGGAGAAATCTGATCACTGGAGGCGGGAAACATTCCAAAAGCAATTTATCAATGGAATCGGGCAACAAGAATTTTCATTCTGAAGAACATCTCAGCGCCTTGTATATGTACATGTACATTAGGTTAAAAAGGAGATACTGGTATGTTTTTGAAGTTTTTCGGGAATGTGTCCAATTTAAATGAAAAAAAAAAAGGTTTAATAACTTAAATGCACATTAACCTGTAAATGTCCCGATATCATACAATGAACAGGAAGGACCATCTGCCTCCTCTGTTCCTTGGTATTCCTGTGTTTTAATGAATCCACCATACACGTACACGTACAGCCCCTCCCCACTGTGATCTGTCATTTCCTCATGTCAAGGTATTTACAGTTCCTGGTACGATGCATCAGCTAGATTAAAACTGCAAGCCGCTGAGCTGACGTAATTGAAGGTACATTAACACATGTCACGTTAATTAATTAACATCACAAACACCGCACATGTGCAGTGTAGGACGATCCACGGCAAACCTGAGTGTATTCCAAATGAAGTGCACCATTATTGGCAAACAACACACAGTGGTACGTACATTATACAATTAGCATAATTTCCTCCAATTATTGCATTTTTAACAGATGCAGGTTTCAGTGCAGAAAACAGGAACAAAACAGGATCTAACAGACCTGTGTTTTGCTGAAAATAGGATTGAAACATGTTTTAATTCCATTTGGGGGTGCCAAAAAAACCAGTTTTCAATAGGAATAAAACAGGTATTTGTTCAGAAATTTTGACAAGGGTACATGTATATTGTACGTGTACACATGTATACATGGCAGAGCCAGAAATGTTTATGTTATTAAGTACACGTTTTTACATCGAAGTAGTTCCCCTTTAAAAATGTTTAACTTTAGTTTAGAGTTCTTGATTTTTTCTAGTAGTGTACCCCCCTGTTTATTTGTTTAAGCCCTAGCTTCCCCCATATAGAATTACCACATGGTCTGGTCACACTCAGTGTAGCAGATCAGCAGAGACCAAACACCTTCACATGTACCTATGTATTGTTCCTCCTAACTGGAGTGTGGTTTTCTGCTTGAGTCCTATTCTGCTAGAAGTCAGTGATTGAAGTCGGAGTGTAAACTCATAAGGTCCATTTTACGCACTGTGTTGGGTTTGGGTTTTGAGTCTTTTAAAGTCTTAGTCTTTGGGTGTTTTTAGTCCTTGAGTCCCTTTGGTTTTTTTGCATTTTTCCTGTACTTTTTCATTAATAAATTATTTTTTTGCAGTCAAATATTGGTGTCTGAGTCCTTATTAATTCAGTTTCCTGCGACTTTTCCTTCAAAGATCCTTGGCTTAGTTAGAGTTTTTGTTGTTTTGCTAATTCCCCATAGCGTGCCATTTTTCCCTGTTACATATACATGTACATGAACGCAGACAAGATTCTGATTGTCACTTGTATGACAGCAGATATTCATAAACTTTGGCTACAATCGATCCTGAAAAAAAAGAACAAAATTGTATTTAGCACCACGCACAAAAATTCTGACCCCAAGGGCTCCAAGAACATGTCCAAGCAATGTGAAGAATACATATCACCACCGGTAGCTTTTGTTGTATTTAATAATAATTATTTTGTGGGAATTTGGAGGAAGTCTTTGACATTAAAATTGTTGACCTGTCTGTGGTTGAATACATACCCAATATACGAAAGCAAGCAGGAATCTATCTGTACAGTTCATTGTACAATGTATTGTGCATTGCGATTAAATTTATTATTGAACACATTATAGCATACCACATGTACATGTAGCATACCACCTGACACTTTGTCTGTATACATGTACATGTACGTCGTTTCCGACAGAAGCAACTGATGCAGAACAATTTCATTCATTTGGACCATTCATAATGAGCATCACGTACCATACCTCTAATTTGTCTCATCTGGTCTTTATCTTGATGACTATAGCTGATCATGATGTCTGTAGGCTCCATGCTGATCGTTCGACTAGGTCGTCTGCTCCCCGTCCCTGAGCCCTTATCAACAGCCTCCTCCAGGGATGTACAATTCTCTTTCACGGGATCTGCCTTCTCAGTTCCCTGGTTCTCGATACCAGTGTCAGTGCTTTGATGCTTCATGGCAACTTCACTGGTATCCAGACGCTGCGTAGACTCCTGACCCCCGTGTCCTACATGTATCTCCTCTGTCTGGGATTCTGAATGTGAGTGTGGCCGATATTTTTCGGTTGGTTCTTTGTCTTTCTCACCGAGGTGGCCTGGTGCACTGCTCGGTCGGGTCTTCTTGTGTCGGTGCTTGCTACTGGCCGTTCCCATGGTAACTATAATTCACTCAAGTAGGTAAAGAGCACTTTCTGTTGCCTCTCTTTACATCTGTAAACAGAAAACTAAAATATGATATGACAAATTTATGTGCTATTAAAAGGACAGTTTAATTTGTACATGTATATCTATACATATACATATTTATACAAGTATATTTACATGTATGCATGTACACAGTAGACACACATACACTGTATACTACAATGCATGGACCATGCCAACTGAACGAGCACCTTACAGCTGAAATAAAATATAATTGCCATTAAATGTACGTGTACGTCACATCACCTACATACATTGTACATGTAGCTCACACACTGATACAACCTACCTCCATGGTTCAATGAATTTAGACTGTAATGAGTCACACTCACACACAGACACTTACACAACACCTGTACATTTCCACTCAATTCAGATAACTGATACATGTACACAAACAAGAACACAATTATCACACATTTTCTAACATTTCTATTTTTGCACATTGCAACTGCTTAATATCTGTCCTTGTATCCTACGCAGCCAGACATTAGACACAGAGACTTAGCTTTGTCAATCGTTATGAAAGCTCCCTTTATTTGGGAGGGAAGAGTTGAAAAGAATTTGGAAAATTCATGGCCATTGCACAATTGTACAGGTACATGTACATTTTGTTGCATGATCAAACTTCAAAGTCCGACCTTTCCACCCTCTGCATATACAAAAATACTAGTAGTAGAAAGAAAGGGTGACTTCACAAAGTTTCACACCCTACATGTATGTGTGTAGAATTAAACAGGGTTGCCATACGTGTACATGTACAACTTGTATATGTAATACCCTAACTCTGTCTTCCATGTACATCTCTCTAAAAAATGGAATTCAAATTCTTCGGACACCAGTTGTATGGGTTTCAAATTGTGGAAACTTTTAAAATGCATTGAAATCTTCACCATACTCAAAATGCATTTAAAAAGTTTCCATAATGTGAAAACCATACTACCGGTAACTGCAGAACTTCAAATCTAGAGAGATCAATGTACATCATACATGAATGACAGGGATAGAATAACTATGTTTAATTCCACTATACTGTGTAATCCTACCTGTCATTTGTTTCAGAGCAATGATGTACACATGTACATGTATGTACCGTCAACTTGAAATCCCCAAGGTTGACTTACTGGCACAGACAGACTTTGCTCTGGTACATATTGCATGAGTTTTAGACTGTTATCACAATGATGTAACTTTACCAAGTATGGATGTTTATTAACCACAAATATTTAAAGGTCTACTTAACAACAGCTGTGGCAGACCACATATACATGTAACATACTTCAACTTGAACCCTAACACTCCTCAGTCCTCCAACAGGTGAAGGATCGAGGAGGGTTAGGGTTAATTGAATGTACTCACATGTACGGTGTATTACTGGAAAAGAAGTATAGTACTACAAAATTCCATTACAGAATTTGATTGAGACTGAGTCGGTAATGGCCACCCATTCCATAAGGAGTATTTCTCATTTTCTAAATGAAGCTAACCTTATAAATGTTCCACATAAAGTGCAGTTACAACTATAGGTAATGTACAAGTAGCAGTACATTAGTTGGAGCTACTCATGCATACAAGTACAGTGTACATGTACATTTCTGTCTAAATGTAAGGGTTGAATTCAGATGGATTTGAGTGTAATCATCACTGATCATGGTGATGGGGGATGTAGGGTGAACCTAGTGTTACACCGATGAACTAATGGGTAATCTGGAAAACTGGCCCAATTCCAACAAAATACAAAGTATCCGGACAGGCAAAGGATGAAATGTCACTAGGAGATTATTTTGCTACTGTAAGACAAAAAATCTCACCGGATTAACAAAACAAACCTGTAGAGATCTCAGGACTTTTAAAAGAAAGTCATGGATCTTGACAATTTACAACCAAATAAAGACAACTTAATAAACCACCAATCAAGTCTGAAGAAAAAACATGAAGTTATCAACCATAACATACATGTATCTACATGTATACATGTATGTGTACATGTAATATGAGTTAAAACTAACATAAGTGTACAAAAGATCTTTGACTTCAGAGCACAAGCTGAAGTAACAACTACATGTACAGTACCACTCTGATTGAAAACGGCGAAATATAAAACCTACAGATGCACATGAACATGCTCCATCATCCACAGTATTTAAGCAATAGGAATCCTCAACATTTTAATATCTGCATAATGTCCATTTTCATTGTATCAAACTGAGTGACACATCATCAACACAAAGAGTTCAAATTCCTCAATCTCAAACTCCAAAGTAACTCCAGAGACCTGTGACTCATTTTTACCGAGTGGGTCACATTTAGGTTTGAAGTACAGAATTAACCCATTACATTTTTCATGTGGAATTTCATCAGTAACGATATGCATTAAAATTCAACTGGAAATTTCCATTGTCACTCTATGTCTTTCTACTACATGTATTTCGAGATTTTCACTTACACAGACTAATATTGGTTATAATCACACTGTTGCTTCATGCATTTTTAGGAGATGAGGCCACATGCATGTTACAGCATGTCTTGAGCTTACATGTAGCTGATGCACAACTTTTATACCATAGACCATCAATTTTCTGTGAGGTACCGTACACGTAAGCATGGCAGGAATGTTTTGTTATCATCAAATATTAGTTACATGTACATGTAGCTTAAATTCCAATGCGTACTGTTCCATACTTGTCCTCCCTGGGCTTATAAATGCTCTGCATTCCATATAAAGTGTAGGCCCTAATGACATACATATCAGACTATGAAAACAGTAGTCTCGTATTTTTTTATTCAAAATCATTAGGCCGTTGTAAACTGGGCAGATGGTGTGTTTTACCTTGAGTTGATGGTGTCTGATGTCTGCATATAATTACATGTACCTTGAGTACATGTAACTTCATCCAAAACGAAAAGACGCTAACTTGATATTCCTACAATGTACATTATACAATGTAATTGTGAATTTCTAGATGTTGTTTTGGGGCTTGAAATAATAAAGTGTCTCCCGCTCAATCTACAAACTTGTACACATTCAGAAAAATGTTGGGTTCTTTTACATGTAGTTGTAGAACTAAATATAGAAGGCAGTGTGAAGATACATGTACTTCTGGAGCCAACATACACGTACATGTAGTTTGAGTGACTGGGACCAATTGCCTTCGAGGAGGAACCCCATGGAGCTACACTCAAAACGTCAAAGATTCGACCATTGCTCTAATATTCGTCATCTGCCTGGGATCCCCACTTGGTGTCTGACATTCAGTGTCTCAAACAGATCCAAAGATAAGCTGCTAGATTCATTTCCAACAACTATAGTAGAGCTACTGGCACTGTGACAAACATACTGAAGGAACTTGGCTGGTCATCCCTTCAGATACAATGTAAAACCATGGTAAAACCAACAGGTTATACATGATGTTCAAGATAATCAATAAGTTGGTCGATCTTCAGTCCGATCATGCTGATGGTACATGTACATGTAGATCCTCACTCCAAATGTTAGAATCTCCACGGGTCACACCAAAAAATTGCAAATCCGTTCTCATACCAAGGTTTTCAACAATACCTTCTTCCCCAGAACAGATTGGAACAACATGCCACAATCTGTGGAGTGTGGTCAATGCAACATCCCTGTCAGCATTTAAGGAGGTAGTCGGGTAATATTTTCATTGCACATGTTGAAGGGTTGTTTTAAATTGGCGTCAATCTCCCCATCACGAAGTGTTAACCTAGTAATAGTTGGTGTGATATGTGTCCCCTGGATGCTTGGCCGACTATACCATACAGAAAGATTAGATGTTGTACATGTGCACTGTTGGCCAACGCCGTTGGCTCACTCGATCATATGCACTCGATCGTCATCTGACACTTAGCACCTGTCTGCTTAATAATTTACCATATCAAGGACGAGGAATAAGCCTGCATACCGGTATCTTCGATATTCTTTACTTACCGTCTACTTTCTAGCGCTGTTTGCACTGCTGAACCTGATGACTCTTTAACTCAAAACGCCTTGTGAGCTCCTGGAAAACCCAAAACAGTTGACTTCCGCTTTCATGGCTTTGCGATCACAATATCAGGTACGGTGTAGATGTACATCCCTTCAAGGCCAACCCGCCGCGCCGTTGAACAGGTTGTAAATCAATCATCACTACAGGACAGGTAATCTTTGGTAGAGTCTGGATACATGGCTTTGATTTCTTTATCTTTCCCTGTGTTGGGCCGCGCGTTCATAAGTCGGTGACACGGGGTACCAAACAAGTTGCAGTAAATTCGGGATAAAAGCAAAATCAACGGGGTCCCACTTTCTATGCTGAAATCAGATGAACGAATGTGAGATTGTGGACTCTAAGATTGTGAGTATGAAGTTATACCTTGATCTGCCGGGAAAAGTGTTTTTGATCGGCTCCTCTGATCTTAAGGTGCCGATTTGAAAATGATGGGATGCCGTTGAAATTTGCATGGCTCATGCACTATACTTATACTATTCTAGTATTACTAGAATGGCATTTATGGCCGGCTCACTTAGCCCCACACGTAGGGATGTAGTGGCTCTTATCTGTCGCCACCACCCCCTAAGACATGCCTTGAAGTAGGGCTGTGGTGGCGACAGATAAGAGACAGATTGTAAGAGAGAGCTAGCACAGCCCTATATGTGGGGCTAGGCCCAACGGGCGGGACGAAAATACCTGCTACCACAGCCCTATGTGTGGGGCTAGGCCCACCGGGCGGGACGAATATACCGGTACATACTGTACATGTACATGTTAGCCCCACTAGTAGTGTGGCACTGACTCTCACTCCCGATCCATCCTTGGGCTACATACATGTACATGTATACTTATCAGACTTGTCTGAAGAAACCCAATAATCTGGCTTCCGAATTTTCTCAGCAAAGTTTCACTTCTTTTGGGCATGTCATTCACTTTCTGATGGCTGTTATAATATTTTAAGGGAAAATTAGTGTTCTCTGTATATGGAACTCTTTCCAAACAAGTTATTATTGTGAACAAATTACATGTACAGTACATGTACATGTATTTCATTAAACTACATGGAATCATTCTGTCAGTTTTTATTAAATTAGCCCAAGGTTTTTTTTTCTAATTTTCTTTTTCCATCGTAGGAATTATGTCCCTTTGATTGGAAATTTAACGCAATGTGCGTGCATTTAAATAAGGTACCCCACAGTTCCGGGGGTACTTTAATACGCACAACACACATGTATGTACGTGTATGCATTTTACTGAAAGTACCAAACATATTCACCCAACATGCCCTTTGAGCCCAGTTTGAAATCTTCTCCAGCCTCTCTGGGAAATGTTCTGTACATTTATTTAGCTATCACAATTCTCCAGTGTTATATGGTTGTACATGGAAATGCTTGTGTCCTTGAAACAGTCCTTCAGACAATTTCATGTTATTACAGACAGACAGACTTGACTTGTTTTCAATGCAAAATTTACAAGGTGAGGTAGAATTTTCTCCACTGATGAGAAGGATGCCTCTATACATGTACACAGCGAGAATAGGCCTTTTTACAAGTCTTGGGGTTGATGCAGAATTGACATGGTGTTGAAACCGTACGTGTTTGTACATGTAGCATTTCACAATCGATAATGCTCAACTACACGCCAACCCTGCATATTGACCTTAAAACTGAATTTTTCCCCTGCTTCAAACCAGGATTTGGCATTTTAACCTTGAATGAGACTTTGCAACTGGACTGAAGCTCCCCAGTCGATGTTCAAAGTGGTTTTGTGAAACGAGCAGGTTAGGGTTCTCTTCTGGTAGGGCATTGCAGAACTTTCTACTTGTTATTGGATTCAGTTACAAGTTGGTCTATGACATGCATACCACTATGGCAAATGAAATATCATTTAAACCCTCTGCACAGTGTGTACATGTATGTACAGAACATGTTAAATTGAGGATGTACATTAAAGTTTTTTTCTCTTATTTCCCTTTACAGTTTTGTCATTTTGGCAAGCCTTGAGAAATTAGAGCATTTAGAGGGATGATGAAATGGACAAATTGTGGGATGTCGGGATGATGAGGAAATTTACACAAATGGCACCATGGTTGAATTGTTGAAAGTAAATTGTTCAAGCTCATCTAGAGTAAAGTTGGTTTTGCCTTGGAATGAAATAACCTCATCAAAGTCAAAACATTTGTGAAAAGACATGAGGATGAATGTGATGTCAAAAAAGTTACAGTTGTAAAATTGCAGCTGGAGTGTTATTTGTGTTTTTATTTATTTTATTGTAAATTCAACAGCTCCACAGTGACTAGCAATAGAAGATTGATACTACACAGCTACCTTAAGGAAGACAGCATCATGGTTCACTCTAGTGATGTTTATTTCATCTATAATAATGAGGATGAAGATTTCAAAGCCTATCTTGCAAGTAAGATCTCCTTAAACCCTTGCAAATTTATCATCTTTTCATTGATTTAAATGACTAACCAATCAATTTGTTTTTATTGCATTGAATCAAATGTGCCGGAAAGAAAAAAACTAAATGATTAAACCCAAAAAGTAAAACCCAAAGTGTATTGGATGTATTGTTTTGCTTTCTTCTCTGTCTTTGTTTCAGTATTGTATTGATTTTTTTCATATTGACATTATTGCTAATTTTATTACTTTTTTTCCTCTTACAGAAAGGTTGGAATCTGACAAACTGTCAGTATGGAGTGGGTTAACATCTGGAGAAGGATTGATTGATGCAAAGGTCAGTAAATAGTCCAAAGTTTCCTGATCGGATTACCAATGGTAATTTGATTAAAAGAGAAAGAAAAAAATAGGTTATCTGAAACATTCCATACGTGATGTAGTTACTGGCTGTGGATAATTTGCCATATCCCAGTAATTACTGAGGTTCGATGAATTGATCACAGTAGTGAGTTAAAGAGTTACTTAGTGTACTTTGTTAATACACAGTTGTTCATACATGTAGATACATACTACATGTACTGGAAATATTCATTTTTGTCAACTGAGTATAAGTAAAGATCACAATGACAGAGATATTGTTAATTTTTTATTAAATTACAAATGTAGAATTATTACAGTAAGATTTAATTTTAAAGTTGTCAGTCTGTCTTTTTTGATCCCCATCTACAGGTGGTTGTTATCATCATGAGTTCTTCTTCCACTCTAGATAAACACTGTAATGATGAGGTATCATTGGCTTACATCACTGATACACCTATCTTCCCTGTTACTAGGGAGACTTTTGCAGAGTTGGAGCCAAACCTTTCATTCTCCCTGTAAGTCTCAAGCCCGTTAGATTTTTTATCATTTCATTTGGGGCATTATAAAATTTTATCCAAACTTTTCAGATTTCTCCAAAATCCAACTTCTTGTTTGGGAAGATATTGAAGATGAGAGCAGAGCCCAGATTCCATTGTTGTGCGCTTGTGTTCAAATTCAGTGGTGTATTTGCATTGCATAAGAAAACTCTCTGGTTAAAATTTCAAGAGAATCAGAGTTAATCGGTATCATTTTCAGACTCGTTCAGACTAAATGTGGAACCTAAACATAGGAAAAGATGTGATAAGTTGTGCAGATAAAGACAGTGAATTCTACAAGTTGGTGAAGTTAACTGTTTGTGCATGACAAGTCCAGGAAGTGTACACTGCCCAGGTGGCCTTCCTTCTCAAATTATGGACTCCATATACATGTACAATGTAACAGGTATGAAACAGGCTGAGCTATGGATGCAAAGGAATTACAAATTAAAATGTACAATGGAACTTAGTTTTTATAAAGGTCGTTATTTTGTAACAAATCATATTGCTTTCACAGGAGGCTGATGGTTGCCAAGCTGAATTGGATGTTCTTTGACAGCGATGAGCAAAAGGAAGCTAATTATCCAGTGTTGCTATCTTCCATCCGCTCAGCTGTTGCTATGGTAAATGAAGAAACTGGAGAGGAACAGGAGACTCAGGAAGAAGATGAAGAAACTCCACAGGTAAAAGGTCATAGGTTAACCTCAGAAATAGTCAAGGTAGCATCTTAATAAACTCAGCTGCCTAGAACCCTGTCTAGGCCTGCACCCATTGGACATATACATGTACAAAGTGATATGCTGATGGTAGATGTACATGTAACTATTGCTGTTGAAGCTTGTTTCTGAATTCAGCATTAGTTTATACACTGTACACTTGTACAGAGCCTAAACGAATCCCCGTGGGCCATGGATCGCATGTCATTAAAGAGCACCTCTAAGGAAAATATGTTTTCTCTGATTTGATCTGCGTCATTCGGAGAAAACAAGGGGAACCCTTGCCCTGTGTTCATAGTGGATAAACCCTTGTGCATATCAAACAATGCCTGTAGCCATTGTTTGTAGCCATTGTTTGGCATGCACAAGGGTTTATCCACTATGAACACAGGGTGAGGGTTCCCCTCATTTTCTCTTTTTTCTCCGAATGACGCAAATCTACATTCAGAATTCACAGCTTGGCATGAACAGATAAAAAGCCCTTTTTGGCTTGTTGTAGTGGATCTCTTAAAGACAAATGACACTGCATTTGATTTGGATACTTCCATACTTATTTGAGCAGATAAACTCAGAGAAAACATGTTTTCTTCAGAGTTGCTCTTTAAATTAGCCAACATGTTGTGCGACCACAGCTCCTCTTGCTGGCTTTTCCACATAGTGCGCTGTGCGGAAAAGGCTTTGTTTTTCTGCTTTTTTTTTTTTACTTTTTTTAAATTTTATTTTAGCATTATTTTTTTTTCTTCTTGGTCTGCCCGCACTTTTTCTCATCACCTCTTTGAGCATTAAACAAAGTCATATGACTATGAAACTTTACACACTTAAGTAACTTTTTTATAGCAAGGGTCTCTTCAAAAACATGACATCATAACGACCTCATCACCTGTTTTGTTGTGGAATTGAAACTATTTAATATTTTCCCATATATTTGTACACGTTTTTCACTAGCAAGACTAAGGCCCTTTTTTCGATCTGACTCAATACATACACATTGTATTAGGTCCACACTCGGTCCTCAGGGTAGACAGGGTCCAAGAACAAAATCATCATCATGACTTCACCACGTGTCACGCGACATGGCATTTAAGGTGTAAATTTCAGAGGCCTTTATCTCTTGAAGTTCACGTCCAGTTGGGTTGAAACTTTGCATATGTGACCTGGCATGACAAAATGAGCGTAAAGTCACATTCTGCTCTTTTCAGTTTTGAGGGTTCACAGTCAAATATTGAAGTGGAGGTCAATTTTGGCATTTTGTAGTATTTTGAAAGAGTAACCCTCTATTTACATGTAATTCCAATTTTGTTAGCAGGATCAGATATTTAAAAATGTCATTTTCTCAGCAATTTTGATGATAGCATTATTTGTGCCCGATCAGAAATGTTGAAACAATGTTAGAAATAAAGATGCAAAGCTGCCAGAATAATGCCACACTGTCACCTCATACTTTTACCCAAAGTGTTTCATGTACATACCATTGGAAAGCTCTCTTTCTGCTGATTTAAAAATAACAATATCTAAATTTTTGAAAATTCCAAGTTTAAGCTCATTTTGTTGTGGCCTGTCACATATTTCGAAAGGGATGTAACAAAGACGAAAATGGACCACATGTGATGATGATGTCATCAGGTACCAAGTCACCTGACCTTAAAGGTGCACTCTTGAAAGCCCTATGTCTTCTTAAGTACATGTCCCATCGGGTTGAAACTTTGCAGATATCTAGAAAGGGAAGGGAAAAAGACGAAAAATGCTCGCATGTGATGATGACCTCATCAGGTGCCAAGTCACATAACATTAAAGGTGCACTCTTAAAAGCCCCATATCTCCTGAAGTACGTATCCCATCCAGTTGAAATGATGCAGGTAACTAGACAAAAAGGATTGTAGACGAAAATTGCCCTCATGTCATGATGGCGTCATGGAGTGATAAGTCACGTGACATTAAAAGTGCACCCTTTAAAGCCCTCTATCTCCTGAAGTACATGTCCCATGATTGAAACTTTGCAGATAACTAGAAAGGGAAGGGATATACAGTAGATGAAAATTGACCCCATGTGATAATGACCTCATCAAATGGCAAGTCACGTGACATTGAAGGTGCAATGTTTAAAGCCCTATATCTCCCAGAGTCCATGTGCGATTGAATTGAAACTTTGCAGATACTGGTTGATGGAAAGGGAAGTGTTATGGATGAAAATATTGTGACATTTAATGTCCATTCTTTAAAGACCTATTCTCTTTTTCATAAAAAACATTCAAATTGCGGAAAAGCCTTATGCTTTGTTCTTGAACAGTTATAAACTTCTCTTTTGATGTAGGGATTTTTAAAGAATTTATTCAGGCATTGTATAAAACAGAACAAATATTTGACATTGGTATGAATGACTTCATTCCACTCAGCCGTGCCAAATGTTCCACTCCATTCAGCATTACTTAGAGCTCAGAATGGAATGTTCCGTCTGTTACTTCATTCCACTCAGCCGTGCCAAATATTCCATTCAGCATTACTTAGAGCTCAGAATGGAATGTTCCGTCTATTACTTCATTCCACTCAGCCGTGCCAAATGTTCCATTCAGCATTACTTAGAGCTTAGAATGGAATGTTCCGTCTGTTACTTCATTCCACTCAGCCGTGCCAAATGTTCCATTCAGCATTACTTAGAGCTCAGGATGGAATGTTCTATTACTTCATTAAATTAGTCATACCATTGCACTTATACATTTATATTGTTTGTATATAAGTATTAGTGTTCTGTCTGCAATTCAATGACTGATTTTTAGCCAGAAATAATAATTCTGTAAGCTCTGTTCAAATGATTGCTTTTAAGAGGAAACAAATATGAGCAGTCCTGATATTGTTTGATAATGCCTGTTTTAGTTTAATTATTTTAATCTTTTAACAAGATATGAAACTGTGACACATTTATATTCAGGCATGGAAAGATAGACCCAACACAGCTGTGGTCATCCGGGAGGGCAAGGATTTTTGGGAAGATAAATTTGGTGATACCTCTGAAGTCCCATGGATAGAGTTCCGAGACAAATTCCTTGAAGTGTACAAGGATCAGATGGTGGAGCAATTCACGGAAGACAAAGTCCAGTGGTTGACCAATCTTCTGTACGGAGATGTCCTTTTGCTACGCAAGGTTGTGACGAAGCACACGTATGAGACATTCTGCAGGCACAAGCCAAATAAACCACGAGATCCTGATCGTTTCTATAATCGGCTGATCAGCTATGCCAAGGGCTGTATAGCAATGAGGGGTGTGTTTAACATGGAGAGCACTGTACGTCTGGATGCTATTCAGAAGTTAGGTAAGAAAACCCTGAATGGAAGGTATTATGCTAGGAGTGCAATAATAGCTTAAATTGACATGTAAAGGATTTGATTCCCGAAACACCCCTAGGTCACTAGTATTCCGTGGCATTTAAAGTGCATGGGCATAAATAGTTCTCTTCTTTCTTGCCCTAAAAATTGATCAGATCACCTGATGAGTTGGTTACTAGTCAACATCTTTTTCATCTTTCATATTGGTGAAAAACCAAGTGTGAGTTGATTCATGCTAGTTTACTCTACAACCCTTGCCTCTTGCATACACAGCACCTTTTCACACAAGCAACAACTTTCATATGAAATGATGAGTAAAGTATTGATAAAACAGTTGGTTTCATCTTATTTTGAAATTCAACTGTCAAAAGAGGCCAATTTGAGGAAGTTTTTTTCCTGTTTCTTAATCAAATAGGTCAGTTTAAAACTCAAGCCGTTGTTTCATCATTGTTGGACTTGTCTGATGAGAAGGATGCAAATGTACGAGCCGTTGCTGCTATTTCTCTCGGAAAAACAGGTAAAGCCATCATAAACGTCTCGCTTACTTTGCTTATAACCGTCAGATAGCGCTAGCTTAGAGATTATGTTGCTGGATAAGCAGTACTGTTGCTAGTTTTCAGGCTTAGCACGTTTGTTGCCAAGTTGATGAAGCTGGAAGTGTACATGTATTATCAGTTGAATTGATCCATCACACTAACATGACTAACTCGCATCATTGTTTTGAACAAAATGTTCACCAGTTTCTAATCACTGACTGAGTTGATCATTAAACAATCGATAAAATGATTATCGCTAAATTGACACCCGTGTAGCGGTACATGTACATGAAAGTGGGTTTTGCAATATGCAGACATGTTCATTTTACTCATAAAACAAGTGTTTGATCTTTGCTGCGATGTCAAATACGTCGGGTAGTTTTCAACAGAATCAACCTTGGTCTGTTGAATTGGTGCAATTGATTGATTTCTTTCAGGTATCAAGAGTAGGCGTGTGTCACAACGGATGATAAAACTCCTCTCTGACGAGGATCGGTTAGTGAGAGAGGCAGCCTGTATTTCTCTTGGTCATATGCAGATTGAGTCGGCTGTACCACACCTTGTTAATGTCTGGTGAGTTCTTAAGAATCTGTGTTCTTACATTCAGTCAGTTCTTACACTCCCTGATCCTTCAAGTTCATACCCCATGATCGTTGCTGCAATTTTTCCCTGGTAATCTGCCTCCTTAAAACGTCGTGTACTGCAGTATAAGAAGTTGAATATTCATGCCATTGTTGGTGCTTGGAATGATCTGAAAACAACATCAAATTTAATGCTTAATGATTTGGTGTGACAAAAAAAATTACAAACATTGCATGGATAATGGAAAAGTGTATCTAAATCTTAAAAAAAAATTATTCATGACAGCAAAAGTAAATCTAATACAAGATACTTTTCTATTTCCTGGTCACTGCGACAAGTTGCAGTTAATTGCCAGGAAAACTCCGCAAATATTACTGGCCCCACTTGTCCAGCTAAGTTGCAGGCAGGACAGGCATTTTTGGAATGTTTACTATTGTTCGTCTGACCTCTGACCAGGCGGCAATGATCATCAAGCACTTTGATATGCCAGAGTTGTAACTCCTCATGTGTCCTTCCTCCATGATATGAACCAGGCATCAGCATCAACAGTAGAAGGGTTAATGCACTTTGGGCTTGAGGCCTCGGGTTGGAATTGTACTTTGTAGTGATGAGTATCACTTGAAACTGAAAGCTCCTTACAGCCACATTAAGGAATTACAGAGAGAGTTTTGTGTATTAAAGCAATACTTTTAGGTTGCAGTTCTACTTGTTAAAGGTTCTGTGCATGAGGTACATGCAGATTAATTAAACTAATGAGGTTCCATGGTTAGTTCAGGAGCAAAGGAGAGTGCATACACGTACATTTACCCCATGATAAATAGTGAGAGAGACTGACAGAAGGCAGTAGTAATTTGAGTAGGTACACAACAAAGATTCCGGAAATCACATTACCTTCCCCCACCTCTTAAAACAATTACCCCTCCCAATAAATTAGTCTTCACCCGTAACCTTGACCTGTCTTCATCTTGTGAATCATATTTACAGGAGAACAGAAATTATTTCTCATGTGAGGAAAGCAGCAGAGGTAGCTCTTGGTCTCATCAACTCAGATCGTGCTAGGGAGGCAATCAAGATGACTGAGGTACTGAGTAGAGAAATGAAGGAACTCTCCACTGAATAAAGGCGACATGCTTCTTGAAAAAAACAGGAATAAAGGTCCATGTGCTCCCAAAACTACATCCAAAAGTGCAAGTAAACCATCTGAGATTATGTAAGAACCTGCTGTGGTGTATGTAAAGTGTACGTGTTTCTGTTCCTGATGTAGAGATATTAGACGTGATTGTTTAAAGATGTACTTGGGTGAGATTGATTGAACCTGTGGAGTTAATTGATCTTTGCATAATAGCTCAATTCAGCCATCAGCCATTCCTTCTTAATTTAGGGTTATGGAAGATTGTTTCCAAAAGGGGAAGTAAAGTTGGAGATTGCATACAGAATTGACCAATTGCACAGAGCCATCTGGGGATTATGTAGATCAGCTGATCATGGACAACATCCATGTAGCTACTTGTGGAAATCGCTGTCAACAAAGTCTAAGTACTACAGGTGCCTTTACATGTTAGTCAACAGTCTTTCTTTATATGTTCATGTATATCGGTCTCTACTTCCATTTGCTAATTGGACTATCAGTGGAAGACAGGTGTAATTTTAATGTATTTTATTTGTAATGTATTCATGTGTTTCCATACAAAATCAATTTTTAATTATTGTTCTCTTGTTTGGTAAGGTTTCTCTAACGATTTGAAACCGAACCATCACATGAAAAACTTTGAATACGCATGGAGGAATAATTTTATGTTAAACCACATTGTGTTTCTTATTTTACCACCTCGAATACATGTACATATTGTGTAACTGTGCCACCTGACTATAAATAGAACAATAGTAATAGGAGTTTATGTATAGCTCTGTACATGTAGCTACTTTCATTCGTCAATGTACATAAAATTTTAAGAACAAGATGTGACAGTGTAGTCAGAGTGGTTTTACGAGGTGTCTGAACCAGTTTGCAACATCTTATTTCTTGAAAAATAAAGTGACAATTTTTCATTTGCTTGTAGATTTCTGTTTACAGAGATCAAAACTACACCTGTATATTCTTATATCAACACTGGGTAGGTACAAGAACACATGTATACATTCTGCATATATTTATCTTAAAGTGATTTGAGAGATTCTTTTTGACAGAAATCTCTGCAACTCTTTTACACCATTGTGCATTTATAGCCCTGCGTATCTTTTCTCATTCCAGAGTGTATATAGTGTATATCAATAATCATTGCTTCAAAAAGTACTGAGTTTGAAAAAGTATTGTGCCTTAAAAATGTACCATACATTTAAAAAAAAACCAATAAAGCTGCTGTGAAAGGAAAACGAAGAGGCACCTGTAAGATGAGATAACCTTCATGGATAAATACATTATTACTACCATGACAAGGTACATGTACATGCATCTACACATTAAAGTGTTAACAGTTTGCATTAATAAAATAAACATCTCTCTGTGTAGAAAGCAGTCAATTATTTAAAGACTCATGATCTTACCTTTTCTGTTTGGTACTTGTACATTAGCACAGCTTTCTATCCAATCCTTTCTCACACAACATCCCTTTTTGAATGAACAAGATCCTTGATTTTCTGTGGCATTCAATAAATCTTAATTTTAAACCTGGACTTTGGAAGTTAGAGTTTATCAGCTGGCCAGAACATTGACAAAGATCTCAAAACCTACTGCTCTTAAAGAATAAGATGAGAGCCTCTGGTCTCTTGGAATTTTAGAGACAAATGTATACCTTCATGTATATACTGTACACGTACACCTGCAATGCAAATGCTCTGATTTCATTACACGTATACACCTACAATGCAAATGCTCTGTTTGATTTCATTACACGTATACACCTACAATGCAAATGCTCTGTTTGATTTCATTGCCTTCTTCAAGGTTCTCATTTCAGCTTTTGTTTTTCAATTAGCATGGCTCCCAACTTTCATTAAAAAATCCATTGGGGTCAGAGCTAACAATAAAATCACATTCTGGAAATAATACAGCAGTTAATTACAAGGTTTTCCCTAAGAGTTGCTCACCATCACCGTTACTGTGAATGTCATTCTTAATGAGGCATTAATGTGCATTTTTTGTCAATGGGGTGTATTCAATTCACAGGTGTAGAGAGGATTGGAGAGGAGTGACATATTTATGTACACGTAGTTGGGGCAAAAAGTTTACAAACACTACATGTACATGTAGTAGAAACAGTTTTCTTCAATTTCCCGTTTGAAATAGTTTGGCCAACTTTTTCTCTATGAGGTCAGGCAAACCGTATCTCAACGTAATGTTCGTAGTGTGTACTTCAATTGAAAATACTTTTCAAAAAGACATTTATTAGGGTTCAAAATATTAATATTTCTGAAAAATCATTTTGTGAAAATTTACATCTACCCCCTCGCTGTTGTTAAAAAAACACTTCAAAAAGGAGTCCACTGCAACTATGAGATGTGAAAAAATACAGAAAGTGGCACTAGATATTAGGGTTAAAGTATGTAAATTTGATTTTTTTGTAAATAAAAATATTAATCATATATGTGTCTCTGGGTGTTATTTGACGCTTACACCATGTACAAATAAAGACCCATCGTGTCTGTACTCACGAAAAGAAGAGTTGTAAGAATGACTGAAGTTATGAAATTCAAGGAAAACTGTTTTGTTCTACCAGGAGTATGTAAACTTTTGCCCTGACTGTAGGTACAAGTATCACACTGGATCAGAGCCCAACAACGTACACTAGGAGATACTCGTTCATTGTGATGGAAATAAATGACACAGGGCATTTCTCTCAGCTTGTGTCACATCAGGATGCCAGAAATCAATCATGAGAACCACTCTGGGTCCTTTGTCATCTCTGCCATCATGCCTTGCTTCATGAAGGAAGGAATCATCAAACAGTAGACACTTGCCTTCATGCCACTGTCTAGATTGATGGGCTACAGTGAGAGTACAGTTAGCTGGAATATGCAGACCTGCGGTGGATACAAATAAACAAGCAACAAACTGAAAATAAATGAATTGGAAATACAGCTTGGAAAATGGACTTTAAACCTGAACCAAAATATGAAGACCAGATCACACTATGGATATAATGGCTCAGAGTTTGAAAGGCATTTTTTCCCCATTACATGTACCCAACTACATGTACATGTAACTTTTTGACACCCACAAATCCATATGTGCCCAGCTTCTAACAATGCCATCTCTAGAAGTCAAGTTACTCACCAAGGTGACAACGAATCCTCACATTGCATGGACCATAGTGCTCTGTAATATGCGTGCCAGCCTCCAGCACGGAAAACATTGCATTCCCAAAAGCACAGTCCTTCATAAACACTTCAAGATTGTCAAGAATTGCAACTGTCTTTGGACACTTGGAACAGTTATCTTCCATTCTTTTTCCCTGGTTGAATAAGTGGAACACACTCCACAGTCCTTCTGGTACATTGTTTTCAAGCCATCCTTCAAAATTCTCAGAGATATTTTGCTCAGTGAGAAGTTCTCTATATTCCTGTTTGATGGCTGGCAGTGCTGCTTCTAACGTCGATATTTCAGGAATGAATTCCTCATAGTCATACCATGGCTTTGCAGGCAGACTTTGGAGAGCAAAAACATTAGGATTCTGAAGTGAAGTTGACCCCTGCATGTTTTGAGATTTGTCTCTGCTACTGCCAGATTTTAACATATTCAAATCATTCTCAACAGAAAGTTGAAGTCGCACTAGAGCTTCCTGTTCTTCACACTTTATTTGAGAAATGTATTTGAGAAATCGCTCCAGAAGGTTGGATGTCAACCTTTCATAGTTCTGACAACGAACGCAGTTTGAAGAAGCACACTTTGAGAAGTCATCATAGTTTGCACTTTCTCGCCTTTTCGTTGTGTTCTGCTTGTGTGCAATACCTTTCTGTCTCCAACTCAAATAACACTGGACAATCACTGTGATTAAAAGACCACAGCAAATTGTAAAGAGCAGTGTGAGGCGATAGCTGTAAAATATGTCCTGTAACATGGCTGAAAATTGAAGTCACCATCAAAGGCAGTCATTCATCTGCACAAGACATGACACAAAGAACTGGTGGCCAAACGGAGAAGCCAGTTGTAATGCAGCTTTATATGTAAAATCTACATATACATCATGACCATACCTAGTCTCGCAATGCAATGAACAAACAGGATGAATGTGAGCCTAGCTAACCTTTACTGTCACAGCTGACAGCAGCAGAACTAGTAAAAGGACATGTAACAACATTTGGCCGGGGCCTAGAGGCTCTTTCAATTATTCAGTTTCAACTCCTGAACTTAGCATTGATAAATTTTCAAGTTCGTAGTCATCTTTTTGAATATTCCACCAGCAAAGAGGGTATCTTCAACACAAAATGTCCATAGAAAAACTACGTAGGCAAACTTATAAGTTATAGGAGGCAATGGGCGTCGCCATCTTTGAGAATGGCGCCCTCTTTTGTTTAAAGCATTCGTAAAAGGTCAGAAAATAGTCAGGTTTCGCTCTGTCGATCTATTCGTTCTCCATATGAACCTACATATCTAGTGTGGTTTGACGTCTGGAATTAAAGTAGGTTGCAAAATGGCTTTTCGGTAAGTGTGTGTACTTTGGCTACTGCTTCGAAGTTTTCTGAAATTCATGTCAGTTTTTATTGTAATTGAGCAGAAAAAGCCTAGGTTGTGTTTAAGATATCCATGACTGTAGTTTTTCAGCAAAATAAAGAATAGAGGGAGTAATTTTGAAAATATTTAGACATGTCACTGTCGTTACTGTCAGACAACAAAGAATTGAAAGATACATGTACATGTAGGCCTTAGCCTAGGCCTTGGCCCTAGCCTAAAATAACGGTCGTACTAACACAACGTCAACACGCGTCAACACATGATAGTAACGTCAACACACCTTTATACAGTAAACCATGGTACAGTCCAAACGACATGAGAAGGCAAGATTGAAGATGGCGGCGAACGGCAGCGCTGCTCAGAGACAGTTTTTTGTGTGAAAAAACTCCTTTGAAATGTAGTAAAATGTAAACTCGATTAAATAGACATTATTCCTCAGCGTATACGTTGCAGTTCAATACATGTATGTCTGTTTTCTGTTTTCAATGCATTTTGTAAGTGTTGACGGTGTGTTGACGTTACTATTAATGTGTTGACACGTGCTGACGGTGTGTTGACGCTGATTAGTACGACCCTAAAATAAAGGGGGGACTTCAGTGGGGGTCCGGACAACTCGACTGTTTGCCAACTCGACTTCGGACAACTCGATCATTGTGTAAAAGTCCGTGTGTAAAAGGGAGAGACAAGCCGTCCATTGGGACACTGTCCGCTCAGACAGTAGACCCGTAAACAGGGCCCAACGAATACTCCTCCGTCACATACTAGGCCCTGTCCCGATTCATAGGGATTTCTTTCGAAAAAATTATCCGGGGGCATAGCTAAATGTCTGCTTGATCATGAGCTGAAATTGCACTGGTATCTTCACTATTTACAGAATAAACCATCCCCTAGGTTGTTTATTGTAGAAAACTCGCCTTTTCCTCATTTGAGGAAAAAATATTGCCTCTTTTTGCTGTTTCCCCACTCAGGATGAAGTTTGCCCCACTTGCACAAAAGCGACGGCTGTTTCATCACTTTCGTGTCACGTTACAGAGAGTGAACCGCGCGACCAATGATTAGCCGCAAACAGTGTGTGACTGAACAAGGAACCAGCCAAGGGCGTTGCGTATTAGCTGCAACACAAAACAGCCGTAATTTTGTACGAGTACTTACTGTAGATCGACAGGTATTCTCACAGATCTCAATGAGATCCGTAGGTGCTGATGTCTGGGTGCAAACTAGACAGGCTCTCGCTCAGGGTACCATTACTTAACCATACAAAGGAGTCTGTGTAATGTACAAGTCAGGCGAAAATTAGTACGGAGTGGGAAAATGGCAAAAAAGGCAACATTTTTCCCCTCCAAACAAGGAAAAGGGGAGTTTTCTACAATTAGCAACAAAGTCGTGTTGTCCTAACAGATGAATTGGCAAACGGTCGAGTTGTCTGACATCCTTTCAGCGTCAGCCGGCCATGTCATGCATGTTAGCCTAGGCATTAACACTACCTAACACTCAGTTTATGTGACAAAAAAACTGAAAATTATGTAATCTACTTGAATTTGATATGGTGATTGTAAAGAGCATGAAACAAGAATGATGTCTACTTCAACTTTCTTGGTCAAGTGTGGTACTGATCATGTTGATATAACTCTACTAAGTACAGCGTTAGTATTCCTCTGTCAATTTTGGACGGGACTGTCTTACTAACGTTCCATGCCTGTACATATAGTAAGGTGACAACGGTTCTCACCAAAAATACCTCTATCACCACCTACTGGCTTCCGTAAATGCCAACATCAAACGGTTGGGGTTTCAAATTTCAGTGATATTTCTGACTTCAAAATCTGTCAAAATTTGACCGTTTTCACTCAACACATGTACAGCACTTGAACTTTTCGCTGCCTGCACCTTTCAAATGCACGTATTAAGATTTAGAATATGTAATAACTCTGTGGGCGAAACATGGTCCTCCCAGAAACACGCATGAGTGGCCTATACATGGTCTTGGCACAAGACTGGGCTACCAACGACTGTTTCCTCTATGGGCAAACATGGTCCTAACGAAACTGCAGGAGAGGTCCAAATGGAGTCGGGGCACAAGACGTATTTACCAGGAAACAGCGAATGCACGCGAAAAAATTGGTAAATGCAACATGACCGCAATGCCCAGCATCAGAGATCACACAATGTCACTTACAGTATCTACCTATACCTATCATGCTTAGGCAGAATTACCAGAACTATAACTATTACTAGCTTAACTAGGCCTATTGGCTATATTATCAGATAAATGTAAGGAAAGAGTCTCACGTGTACAGATGCTGCTTGACACCCTGTGCATAAACCCTTTAAGATGCGACTGGTTTGAAAAATTCTGTTTTCTAAATGATTGACTTGGTTTTTCCCCCATAATTGAACTTTTCTGAACATGTTTTTTAAAGGTGAGAATTACACGTAGTTAATAGAACTACACGTCCATCATGAACATGCACATTCTTGTAGACTTTGGCTGTGAAATCAGTCTTTGGTTGCTTTCCCTGATACACTGGCACAGCACTGAACATGCACGCACCACGGACGTATATTAAAAACCTGGATTTACAACGCCTTTGTATGAAATAGAAGCCAACCAGCGGCCATTTAACTGAGCCGAATGCAAATACCCAGGTTGCCTCGCTTCTATTGACACCAGGGAGAACAAAGGCAGGCATTGCCGGGCAAGCTTTGTATTCGGCTCGGTAAAATGGCTGCTAGTGGATTCAATGATCTCTGTAAGCTGATAAAGGGCATTGCGAGTCCAGATTTTCTTATACAGTTTATACATCCGTGGCATGCACAGTGAGTGTTCTTTGAGGACTAGGCCTATAAAATTTACTTTAAGTCTGAAACTTTATTGTTTCATGCTGACTTCATTGTTTTGAATTTGTAATTGTACATGTATTTGTTGGGCATGATCAGCTGATCAGCACAATCACCCGATCACTCTGTGCGATTGGTTGATTCTCTATGAATCTCGGTTACTTCTCTTATTTGAAATTTTCCACAACCATGCATTAGAAAGAAAAAGCAAATGGCGGATGGCAGAATTTGCAACAAATCATGCAGCAACATCAACCATGTCAACCAATCGCACAAAAATTAAGCAGTCATGTTTATCGAAAGATCGCACCCACATGAACCATGTCAACCAATTGCGCAAAAATTAAGCAATCACGTTTATTGAAAGATCGCACCCACATCAACCATGTCAACCAATCGCACAAAAATAAAGCAGTCACGTATATCAAAAGATGGCATCAACATACAAATTTACAAGATGGAATTAGGATGGACTTCATTTCCCTTAAAAATGCTCCAGAGTCATGAATCATGAAAACAAGATATCCTGCAATGAAATGTAAGATCTGATTTAAAACATTAAAAGATAAAGTTGCAGCTTTTTGGGTACGTAGACCCCAAAAAATTGAAACCTTTGGATTAAGGCGTGAACCTGGTCCAAGGTACAGTGCGTTACAAATGCAAATCTTGTTTGGTATCCACTGCACCAGTCACTTGTTCATATAATGTTGATGCAATGTGGACACAGTCCTTTCTGTGTATTGAAGTGTTTCAAAAATGTATGACTGATTCACAGCAAAAGAAACACTTTGTTCATTTGTCATGTCTGGGTAGAAATGTTTTGTTCTAATATATTTTCTTGTTCCACTTGTTTCAGGAATCCGAGTGGACCACCGCCAGGTGCAGGTAAATTGAACTGAAAAAGTCTGATGACTTGTTTGGGTTCCGTAAACCTTTAACTACATTGTACATCTGCTCTACATTTTTTTAAAAATTAACTCGGCAGAATTTTCCCTCGGGATTATTCTTGGCTCGCGACTTAGCAGCATCAAAGCATAAAATATTCTAAATTAAAAAAAAAGTGAAATAATACAGAAAATAAAATAGTCAGTTGTTCCTAATCAGTGAGATCAATAAATCCAACAGAATAGACAATGCTTTGTACCGTTGGTTTGGCATGCTTAGCAGTTACCATATGGAGTACAACTTTCACTCTTGTGATTAAATCCAGATTTCATCTTTCAAACCAAACTTTTTCGTCGTTCCTACGTGGGCTATAATGTCTTAAGGGAATTAAATATGTGCTTAGCTGGTATTAAAAGTGCGTTTAAGACTGGCTGAGGAGAATGGACGTGACTATAACATTAGTGTTCAACTTCCTGAGCTGCCAAGCATGTATTTGTTCCCATTCATAGATACCATTTTAGTCACAGTCAAAAGAAGTCAGTTTGGAGTTCCAGATTTATTTCTAGAATTTTACTTACATTTTCCTGAACACCCTCGTCTACTTTTTTGAATATTCCTTGTGCAAATTGTCCAGTTGGCACATGCGTGGAAAGCTGCGTGCACACAGACACTTGACCAATCAGAATCAATTAAACTGTCCCGTATCCAGGTGCCAGTGCATGATTTATGCAGCAGGCATTATCACTTCTCAGCAGGCAAATGTTAATACACGGTCAAGTTGCATGATGTTGAATAGGGAGACTGTGAGAGGTACCGTATTTATTACATGTAATTACTGTTAACACATACCCAAACAAAAACCCAAGTCAGCATCCCCTGGATGTATACATGTATGTAAGTTTCTGATTCCCAGTGTTGATGGGCATTACTTACATGCAGGTATCCATGTATGTAAGTTTCTGATTCCCAGTGTTGGTTGTCATTACTTACATGCAGGTATCCATGTATGTAAGTTTCTGATTCCCAGTGTTGATTGGCATTACTTGGGTATCCATGTATATTGTTAATAATTACGTCTTTGAGGCTCTGAACGGCAAAAATGAATGCATGGCTTCTTTTAAAGCTCTGTGCCTTCATCTTTTGAACCACTAACCCTAAACCCTTCTTTTCCGTTTTCACTGATACTTACAAACTCCCACATAATGACCATTACAAAACAGAATCTTTCCATCAGACTTTCAGAGAATTCCCTCCCAAATGCTGATTAGACAGTGTTCTTCATGATCTGAATCTCAACAAGAGTCCAAATTATTATTCCTACTTTACATCAAATGGCTCTGAGTGCCCCTTCCTAGTTATTTGATTACCCCCTTGTCATCTTTACAGTACCAATATTTCAGCTTTCATCAGAAACCAATCTGTTGATATCCAACCATTTTCTGAGGTAGGATCTTGCTGGTAAATTTGATGAAATATTTTGGCTGCCCTTAACCAAATCCTGCCCCAAATGTACATGTATCTGAAAACTCAGACTTTTGTTTAAAAATGATAGCATGTAAACTATGAAATAATGGCATTGTCACTCATCAAATTTTGCTTTTAAGTAAAAGAAAGTAACCTGTTCCGTTTTATAAAATGCCACAGAATAAAAGCAACCTGCAGTATATGTACCCGTAGTGTACACCTACACCTGAGTACATGTATGTTGTTTACAATCGTCTCTTCATTACACCTACTTTATTCATTTACCCAGTGCCCTGCAATCACTCATTTCATATCTAGTAGTAAATTCCCTCTTCTTTCCCTGGTTCCCTTGTAGTAGGTTATGGGATGTTGCCATATCATCAGCAGATGTATATGCCAGGTAACCATAGCAACAGTCTCTTAATAAAAAGAGCTACATGTAGCAGTAACTTCATTTAGTGTTTTCCATAATGAATCATTCATCTGGCTTTTGTTGTCTGCTTTTCTGTTGATGCATTCTTTTCCAGTGTTGCATGGTCATTAATGGATTGATTGTACATGTAATGCATAATCTTGGTGATGTACATGCTTTCTGCCTGGCTGTGTTGCATTGTTGAATTTTCTGTAGTTTCAAATTTGAAAATCTGCATTGCCTAAAAAGACAAGAAAATAAATATAAGGATCTTTATCACAAAAATGAAATTGTGGGACTGAAACTAGACGACAAAGATTCTTGAATATCCGTCTAGCAATTGTTAATCTAATGAAGAGTAGCCTACCCTGTGAACAACATGTACACAATGTACCTATGAATAATTACTTGTGTTTTAATGTACATGGAGGAAGAGTTAGGTTTCACTTTCAACAGGAAAGGCCGCCTCTTCAGTTGATATAATGTGTAGTTTACCGAAGCGTGGTGTAATTTGTTTTCAAGCCACATGCTGTACCTTTGCAGGTCTGTGCTCATTTGGTATTC